TGCTGGTCCCTTTTAAATTTGGTCCAAAACGTTAAATTTGTTGGACTAATCCGTTGAACGCGAATGAATCGTAATTCAGCTGCTCCCATCGATTACTCGACTCTTCAAAGGCCGACTGTACCGCTGTCTGCTCTACTCTCTTCGCCAGAAAATGCAAAGAAATGCAATGAAACACGCAAACTTTTTGCCACACCAAAGTCACAAATGTGCCAGCGTTTATTTTTATGGAGGCTCGCGTTGGTTTCTGGTGGAGCGGCTGGTGCACCTTTTGATGGGCGGCCACTTTGGGTGTGGCAAGCCAAATGGCGTCAATGTTGTGCACATTACGGTTAATGCTGCTCAAACGCGGCACATCGTCGAGTCGCAGAACTTTAAAGGGCAAGTTTATTGCCGCATGCAATGGCTGCAAGCTGCCTGCTGCCGGCTGCACGAATCGGGCATCGTAATATATTCGACTGGTCGCAGCAGCAGGCGTCGCGTAATAATGTTAAATGTCAGGTGCAATGCAGTTGCAGTTGCAGTTGCAATCGAAGTCGCAGCCAGCAGCTAATTAAGTTGCCTCCGCCTGTGCCCGGTGCAAGTTCTCTGTAAGTTTCCATAAAATATGCGCAGAGCCGTCGCGTCGCTCCTCCGTCCACACGGCCACCACGTCAGAGCTGGGAGTGGAATAGGCACTTGGCTTTACACCGAACAGACGTTTATTGCAAGCAGTTGCACTGTGGCACGTGTACTTTATGGCATTGCCCATGAAGAAAGTCGATTCAACTCATGAAGCTTTCATTTGTTTAGCGCCTCAAATCTACACACAACACGCAAACGCAGTCCCTTCTGCGGGTGACTGATGCATGTGGGATCCTAGGCAAGACGGAAGCTCAACCTAGTAAATTAATGTCTTACTTAGTCTACCAGCTACCGCTAGCTCATCCATACGTATGCAGTGAGTGCATTGCTGCTTGGCAGGCCAGCCGAGATACATTTAAGGGGCGTCTCTTGCGCATTTGCCAAAATGTGTTTGCATTTCCGACAGTATTTACGCTTTAAGTTCTTGTCTACTCTGATTGCAGCTTGCTTTAAATTTCTTGCATGAAACATATATTAACCCATTCATAGAAGTGCCACAAAAATAGAAATGGATTCAAATTTCTAACATAGATATCCAATCATAGCACAACTTGCAAATGGGCCGTGGACGGGTAATAGCTGATTTTACACATATTCTTATTTATATATAAATTTAATTAGTTTTATTTAAGAACGCATTAATTCACAAGCAATTGAGAAGCAGAAAGGAAGAGACTTAAATAGAAAGAGAGAAGGTACCAGAGAGTAAATTGAATTTAGATAAATTTTATTGGACAGATGACTTTAAAATACAATACTTCAAATAAAATCTTGAATGCCTGCAATTTATGAAAAACGCATGGTGGTCAATCATAGAATACAGGTTTTACCAAGTAAGAGGTTATAGTCGGGAGCTCTGGGATACCCTGAACCCTCTTCTTCCAACATTAAATGAATATATATATTCTATTTTAGAAGCTATATGTCAAGTTTGGTAACTCTAGCTCTTATTATTTACCAAAATTGCCCAAAAAACAGAATTTCGATATCGATTTTTATCGATTGCTTGGAAACGGAGTAAGTTATCGATTATCGGAAACAAACTCGATCTGCGCGGTCGCTAGAAGCACCTACATCTAAATAGATCGACTCGGCTATTGATGCTGATCAAGAATATTTGTATATACTTTATGGGGTCGGAGATGCTTCCTTCTGCCTGTTACATACATTTGGATTTTGCACAAATACAATATACCCTTATACCCATGTTTAATGGGTTCAGGGTATAAAAAGAGCTTAGGCCAAACGAGTATAAATAAAATCTCGCCCATAGCTTTTTTTTCAATTTTCCCCCCATTAGGCTGGCTTTCTAAAAAGTATACCGCAAGCCTTCAATGACTCTCTGTGTACATATTTTGAAAATGAGCTTAAAGTAGATCGTATGACAAACAAAAAATTGATGCAATTTTCCAAAGCACTCTTATCGCAGCTCTTACAGTTGGAGCTGTGCGTTGATAACCGAGAATCATTCATAATCGGATATAAATAAGCGAATCGAAGAATCACAAATAACAATTCAAAGTTGCACTACCGCAGCTTCCAATTTATTAAGCAAATAACATAACATAAAATAAAATACACATTTTTAATTACGAGAGCATTTGAATTACTGTATCCAAAATATTTTTCAATAACATATTTTTGATGCAGCCTGCAGCTATGCAGCAGAAATGCAGATATTTTTTCACCCACCCTAAAAGTAGACTACAAATGCTCTCAAATTCCCTATTCACAAATATTGTGAACAGTTTTATTGTTCCCATAATTAAATGCAGACATAAAAAGCTTTTATATCGAATTAAGATAAACAATATTTGCGTGGAGCAAACATTTGCGAAATTTGTTATTAATTATTAATTATTAAATATTGAGGCACAATCATTCCACTTAAATATATTTTACATAAAGTTATTGTAATTATTTAGAGCACACTTTTAATGCTTATACTATTTAGCATTACCTCATCATCAATTTGTTAGCTAATCAAATTGCAAACAAATAATTTATGTTCATTGAGAAACAAGGAACACGAAACCTGCAAGGCCTGTGCCCATTTCTACTCGCAGCTCTCTCTTTCCCTCTTTTTACCTATCTCACTCTCTTTCTGCATTTCTTTTTTCACTCTTCCCTCTCGACTCGTGTAATTTATTTTCCATTGGTTAAATAAAAAAAGCTTAGTTTTTTTGCGCGCAATGCAATTAATTAAATTACATCGAATTCAAATAGAATACAGAAACACATAAAAATTGATGGAGCCTGCTTTTGATTTTTGCTTATTGAATCATCGTTTGGCGCGGCACTTTATGCAAATTTCAATTTATGCAGCAACAATTTACTTTTAGTTTAGTTTAGTTTAGTTTGGGGGTCCTTGGCTGATATCCAGGCCTGCTTAGCGCTGAGTTTACGACTTTATTTCATGACTGTATGTCATTTAGGTGTAACACGACAGTGTTGGCATAATGGAGGAATTGCGTTTTTAGTTCGGTCCGCCATGCGAAGGCTCTAGAGCCCATACATCACGTATTTGCGGCAATATTAAAAGAATGCCAGGTCCTGGCACGTGCCGCCCACTGGGCTGCCAATAGAGTTAAAGCCTCTCTTGTACATATAACACAATACAAAATATGCTAACGATCACTAAAATGGGGAATATGTATTTTAAAACATTCCGGCTGATTATTAAAATGCTATTTACTTAAAAATGTCAAGCGTGCCAATCTTTAATTAATTAGCTATAAGCTTAACTTTATTGATTCCAATCACACAAACTTTTTATAAGTAGGAACAAATTAATTCTGTTGTATTATTGACTCATATGGACATGGCATAGTCAAGTACAATTCATCATTTATGTAAATGAGATAATAAGCTTCAAGTGCTTTAAACTGTTGATAATTCGCAATCTATGCACACATTAATAAAACAAATGTGTGAAACTTAATGTTAAAGATTATTGTGAAAAATTTAAATTTTAAAACAATTAAGTGGGTTATAGTTTCAACTCTAGTCCAGCTCCTATACTGCTCGACGTATGCTTAAAACACCATATCAATTTGCAAGTATTCAGTTGTTATTGTTTTTATGACGTATGGTTGGTATATGTGGTCAGAGTTTCCTCCATTTACGCAAAATCAGGGTGGAGAAATATAATTTTAAAAAATGTAAAAAGTATTTGTCAGAAGTGGGATTCGAACCCACGCCCTCAGAGAGGACCAGAACGCTCACCAACATTTCTATGAAACGTAAGACTGTTAATCTTGAGTCTGGCGCCTTAGACCGCTCGGCCATCCTGACATGTTGAGATTATGTTGCCAGAGCGCCGTAATTAAGGGAGCAAACGGACTATCAGAACAAAAATGGAGTTATAAGTACTTTAAAATACTCTCTCTCTCAAAAAACAATAAAGGCATTAAGAAAAACACGCGTTTTCGCGCCCCAACGTCGGCGTCAGCGTTGCATGTCTGGTGGCTATTTATAGACGGGAATTGTTCTCGTTCTCTTCATCGAAAGCTAAAAGCTTAAGCGTGTGTGCTTTCGGAGACGAGGTTTTTTAAATTGTTGCATACTTTTCAGGCATATAATTTGAAGAGTTAAAAATTAAAGCTTACTCTATGGAGGCCCACATTATATATTGGAATTTTAGTTTTAGTAACGTTATCTATCTGTGCGGTCGAACAAAAGTTTTGATGCAACAGTAGAATATATCATATGTCTTTTATAATTTTATGTATACTCTTTGTAAAAAGATACCTCTCTTTGTGTTGAATGTTGATACTCGGGATGATGGTACGCACTGACAAGAGATAGAACACGACCTTTATTCGTTTATTGATAATAATTTCAATTTATTAAGTGCTTCTCTAAGTGAATTTCATCTCTGCATTATGCACAGCATATAACATTTCAAAGCAAAGACCAGCACAAAAGGCATCTTACCGAAGATACCTCAATCTATTATATGTTGCTCGATTTGTTCCACAGTTGCCGAGTTGTGGATCCTGTCCCCGCAGCCGCTTAGCAATCACATGGTAAGCACGCATATAAATCAGAAACTTTCGACGAATAGAAGGAGCTGGATGCCAGCTAGATTCCACTGGGCACTGGAACGGCGCATGCTTTTAAATCGATGAGCATCGCAAAATTGACAATGATTTTTTAAAAATAATTTTATTACTTCATTCAGTGGGGTATTCATGCAGACAGCTCCAAGCCCAGCAATGGCAACAGAAGTCCATCAGGACTGTTGGCCGGCGTTCCCAATGATTGGATGCAGTCATGCGTGAATGTAAGCGCTGCTTCGAGCCACTCAAGAAGCACTAATTCGAGTTTTGTCAGTTTGCAGCTTTGGTTTTTAATTAAAGGGCCAAAATAAAATCTAATTATTTTGTGTTCCCGGCTTTATTCTAGTTTTTGTTATCAGTTAATACAAATTTGGCAGGGTTTAAGGGATACAAGATTCAGGGCCAACGTGCATCGTACTGTTTTATGACATACGTGAGTTTCTTAATGGCCAGCTCGACCAGTTCGTCGTCCACCTGGTGATAGAACACTAGACGCATAAACTCCCAATTGCGTGCGCTGGCCTTGACTATGATGCCCGCTCCGTTTTTGCCGGCTACACCAGCTGTCAGCTCATCCGGCTCGACAACTGCCAGACGTTCGGCAAACTGATTGGCAGTCAACTTGGGCTGCTTAATCTGTACCAGCAGAATGTTGCTTTGCACAGTTGCCAAATCCACGGTTACATTAGGGCTCCGAAGTTGCTCAATGCCTATGAATATGAGTATCAAGAGATGATAACAAAATGTTTAAGCGACTTACTTTTTGCAATGCGCAACGTATGTTCATGGTCTTTAGCCAGCAGCGGCACCACCTGCTCAAGGGCCACCAGGCCGGCAGCTGCCAAGATGCCCACCTGCCGCATGCCACCACCCAAGGCTTTGCGAAGTCGGTGAGCTCTTCGAAGAGAAGGCAGATGATGAGGCAAGTGATATCCACAGAAGCGTTCGATACTTACTCCGCAATGAAAGCCTTAGAGCCGACCAGAACGGAGCCCACCGGTGCGGACAAGCTCTTGCTCAGACAAACGGACACTGAGTCGAAGCCACGGGCGATGCGTTCAACACTAACGCCTAAAGCTGCTGCCGCATTAAACACCCGGGCGCCGTCCATGTGCAGGCCGATACGAACAATGCCCAGGCCAGAATCACGTACCAATGCCACCAGCTCATCCAGATATGAAAGAGGCATCACCTTGCCACCGCAAATGTTGTGGGTGTTCTCCACAACAACTAAGGAGGTAACCGGCTCATGGCAGTCCTCATACTGGCGTATCTTGTGCCGCAACTCCTCTAAGCTAAAGGTGCCGTCCTGCTGGTTCCTTATCGTGGCTAATTGCACGCCAGCCAAATGCGCGGAACCACCTAAGTGGGATTAGAATGTAGCTGCTGCACCTGTTATTTATTGCTCTGCGTTATCCCACCTTGTTCATAGAGAAAGATATGTGATAAATCTCCCACAATGGCCTCCGAGCCGCGTCGGTTGCAATGAACCATAACTGCAAGCAAAAGTTTAAGGAGTTGGGTCAATTGAAATAATGAATTAAGGGTTTTCAGTGTGTTCGACTTTAATAAAGTTGCCATGCCATTAGAAATATTAGCTAGGGTGGCTCCCTCAGCAGCCAAGGAGGTTCTGCATCTCCTGCTGCTGTTCTGCACACGCCCAACATTTAAGTACATAAAAATAACTGTTATGTTTATGGATGTGCCCGTAACCTTAACGATTATGAGCCTGCTGCATGATATGGGCGTCTTTTCTAAACATTTTTGTTTTCATTTAAAGTTTCGGCCAGCCAGAGCGCATTATATAAGGGGCATGAGCCATCTTCACTTTAAGCTAATATGCACTTACGTGTCCGAGGCGGCGGCTCCCTTTATAAGATATTTAGGTCCTAAATTGCGGACCAGTGTTATTTATGTACACGTCGAGCCACTTACCAGCTAAAAGATTTCCCATGGTGCCGCTGGGCACAAACAGGCCAGCCTCCTTGCCGAAAATTGCCGCAGTCTTCGCCTGCAGCTCAGCAACAGTGGGATCCTCGCCGTAGACATCGTCGCCCACCACAGCGGCGGCCATGCGTTCCCGCATCTCGGGCGTGGGCAGACTGACGGTGTCCGAGCGCAGGTCAACAATATTAGCAGACATTTTATGCTTTTCCTACAAATTGTAAAATTTCCACGTGGTAGTGAACAGTTGTTGAATTGCAAATTCAGTTGCTAGAATTTGCATATGTCGTTTCTGCCAACTCGCCTTGCATTCACTATTTAAGTCAAGCTGACACTATTTGAGACAAGCTCACATGCCGTCTAAGGCGACACTGAGCTATGCAAGGAAAATGTCAAATCAAATAAAAATATTTGCATTATCAATTTCAAATTGATAAGCGACATTCAATTAGGGCCTGGGGTGACCTGGATGCCAGTCAAGTCAGGTCTGTGCACCTATAATTGAACACTTGCTACAAGTACCCCATTCAGCTTATTGGCGATAACAGTTAGAAATCCAAAACAATAATCAATGCCCCCCATGTAAAATACGTGTTCCTGCATATGCGTATGTAAGCATCAAGTTACTGGCGAGAGCAACACGTGTGTTATTGATACACAGCCCTACCACATCTATGACTGACAACAGCCAAATTGTTAAACATATTAATTGAACAGTAATAGAATTATATCACATTCGCACAACATAAAAACACCAACAACTCACAAAGAGCAGATACTTATTGCGGGAACAAAAAAAAAAAAAAAAAATAGAATAGCAAAAAACGGCACTTGCTACGCTCACCACACAGAATGAACTGAACGTAACAGCTGGCAGCAATCCCCATGTGGGCACTGGGCGCCGTTCGTTTCCAGCAGAGAAAATTTCCCAAGAGAGTAAAAACGTCTGTGCTCAGCTGATTGAGCGTCGATCGATGTAAGGCACAGTGGGACCGACTGATATGTTTCGTTGCGAAAGTTCATAACATAATGAAGCCCGTGTGTTTGCATATGTAAAAAGGTTTGTCCTGACTGCCCGACTGACTGACTGATTGGCCACAATAATTACATTAAAGATGACAATAATGGCACTCTCAGATAGTTTTTGAAAAGTTTCACGAGGTTACGATGTTATATCGCGCGACATATGTATCTCTGCCGTTCTACAACCGACATGTCTCCTCCAGCAGATGTTTCTGTTCATAATAAATCATAACTGCGAGCGTAGTCACTTGCATATGAACTTTTACTTATACAAACAATCATATGTATGTATATATGTATAAACTTACTTTTACGTAAGTAGGAGTAATCTTGCCATAATCAACGGTGGAGTTGTGTGGTTTCGCTTTAAAAGTACTTACTCTCGCTTATATCAACGGCGGAGTTATGTTGTTTGATAATATCGCCAGAAGTAAAAGCCGGATTCCACTCGTATGTGCGAAAAAGTGGTAGGGTCCGAGACTGGCGAAGGCTTTAATTTTGTCCGATCGACTTTACACTTATTTTCAAATCTCTACAATAATAATGTTAACATGTTTCAGAAAATCGGAATATAGAGTTTTCAATTAGAAACTTTATAATAATTACTTAGGCAGGTTATTACTTAAATCAGTTCACACGTTAACAAATGCAGCGTAACAGATAATTAAATAACAAAAGGATTACTTTCTTTGGTATTTTTTATTCAATATCTGAAATTTTCACTAAATTTTTGCTATGTCTAACATGTTTTATTTCTAGTTTAGTTTTTACTTTTCTTAATTGGCCAACAACAAACGGCGTCACTTGCAACTACATTAGGTACGATTTAAATTTTTAGATTAAAAACAAACGAAATTAACTATATTTATACTCGATAGTCATAATTAGTTGCTAACTGTAGTCGATAACTCTTGCATCTTGACATATTTTTAGTCTGAAACTGATTCAATTAACTAATGAGATAAGCTATAAAACAGAACATGTCCTCGCTTGCAGGTTGGGGAACAGTTTTAGGCATTCAGATAAAGCTACATCTGATATCGATATCGATCGTATAGTTTAGAGTCAAGACTTACCAACTAAAATTCCAACAATTTTTGTTTTCGTTCTTTTCCGGTGCTGGCAATTTACCAGTTGCATAAACACATACATAAATATACATGTTTTTTGTTGTAAAGGTTATGAAAAAATTATAAATAAATATTTAGCAAATAGTTTTTTGTTATAGTCTTTTCAAGAAGTTTCACTCTAGCGCAATGTAAATTTAGTTTTGCTCTAAGAATCAATTAAGTTTGAGTACAATGCTTCGCACTCGTATATGTGTTGTTTTACTTTTGGCACCTACTGTGGTTGTATTTGTAGTAAGTTGAAGTTGAGTTACTACACCATTTAGCTGCTCAGGAAGTGTGTGATTTCTTGTTTTTTGCTATGTGCAGTGTGCTGAAGGTACATCATTTTACATCAGACCCCATAACGATTCGATTCCATTCATCGGCTAACTTGGTTACATATATACTTAATAGAATGAACCAAAAAATGCACAGAACATGCAGTACATTAAATTGTTTGGTTGCTCTTAGTTGTTTGGTTTTTTTTGGTATGTGCAGACGGAGCTGCAAGGATATCGCTGGGCAGCGCGACCTTTTACAAAGGCCCCTGTCACGATTTCAACTCTTAAATCTAGACAGTACAAAAGACACGCAAACTTACAGCTAAGTTTAGACTCTAACTCTGTTTTGAGGCTTAGCGCTATGGCGATACGTCCGTATCGGACGCATCAAGCTCGCCGGGTGGATTTCGCTTAATGCAGTCCCGTATGCTTTGCAGAATGATGCCAACTCGTCGATCTAGCGCCTCCAGATGGGGTTGCCAGAGCACCGGACTGACTGGATCCTCGCTCAGCGATTCACGCATAACCTGCGATAACGGCTTGGGCCCATTGTGGAATCTTGAAAGATGAAGCACAACAGTAGTCAATTGCTCAGCAAAACATACGACTTGGATATATCTTTGCGGTTACTCACTCTAGCAGCTTAGTGAGCGTCGTCTTTCGTATCAGGCAGCACTGCAGAACTGGCGCCAGTATCGAAAGCTCATCGTGAAAGGGACGCCCAAATCCGCGTCCATGGTCCAAGTGCAGGGGGAAGGTCTCGTTGCCATAGATTCTGTAAAATGTAGCAAAAGTTTTGCTGTCAAATTGCGCATACGACCGGCGTTTAGCATTGCATAAGCATAATTTCCTTCAAATGTGATTAGAGACAACCGCCAGGGATCGGCCTAAGCCCTGACGTAACGCAATCGGGTGTAACCGGCCACTGACAATGCCAATGCCATTAGCTCAACCAACGCTCCCCTGCATAACAAACACCGTGGCAGCCAGGGCACCTGGCAGCTTCGGAATGCATGCTGATACGATGCGGTTGCCGGCTGCTGTCTTGAGCAGCAGACAGATTTAGCTGCTTTTTGCAGCATGCATGTAAATATCTTTCCGAGGCATTTGGTCCTGTCGTTGAGCATGCTGTGCAACACCCTTACCAAATATAGACCCGGCAGCAGTGAAGCGGATATTAAGCGTATACGTAACGCGCAGCCACATTGTAGGCAAGGAGCCAACAACGCCATTTATGCGGAAATAAGCCAATCGCATTAGATTATACGCCTAGTTCCCACTTGTGAGGCCGAGGAGCCCTCCGCCCATACTCACTTAAAGGTCTCATAATGGTGACGATCCATGTTGCCAGTGAGAAAATCAAATACAGCCATGTCCATGAGGTCAAGCAAACGTCGGCCCTCATCGTAGGGCGGTATATCGCGTACCTGTGACAAAAATCAGATGCTAAATGAGACATCTGTCGGAAAAAACTATGCAAAGGAATTGATGCAGGCTGGCGACGACTTAATTAAGTCAGGAATGATTGCCATTACAAAAGCTGGAGCAAAAGTAACAAATGAAAACATTTGCATTCCACTCAAGCTTAAATGCAAATTAAATAAAATAACCGCAGCAAGAAGAGCTGCAGACAAAGCGTAGCGGGCGCAACCGGAAGTGGAAATGGAAATGGAACACAAAATTGGGGTAAGCAAAAGGCGACCGCCATTCACCCTCCGCCCCTCATAGTTAGTAACCAACTGGCGAACGGTTTACTTACCAGAGCACAATAATTGGCATCTGTCTCCCATTGAGCCTTCTTTCGCTTGTGATAGGAACGTCGCCAAGGATGCCGCCAGAGCTGTAGAAGAAGACGGAATATAAAATCAATATCAATTTGAGCTGCACAGTGTAAGAATCTAAAGCTGCTGCGCAGCATTAATATGCCACGAGTGTGCGTCGGGTGGGCATCAGCTAAAACGTTTATTTATCATCCTCGCAATATGACAATATTATTTTTGTATTTTTGTACTTTTATTTTTTATTTCGTTTCTGCTTGATTTTGTTGGGACGCTTCTGCACTATAAGCGAAATTAAATTATTTGCCGGGCTACTAAGAAACGTAATAAAACGCTATCCAGCATTTTGCTTGGCTTCGCGACGGCTTTATGCCGGACCTCAACGACCGCAACTTACCTTCCGTCCCTATGCAATTGGCAATGGCAAGGAGCGCGTTTTGGTGTAGCGAAGCATTTTATGTTCGTGGGAGGGTCGGTAACAACAACAATGCAGTGACCAAAAATATGTAGAAAAATTAAAAAGAAAGGTTCAGATAAAAATCATAATAATAAAATCGCTGTGCGTTCGCCGCTGCGTGGGCGTGGCATGTCTGTGTAATGACCGGAAGCCCACATGGGCCACAAAATGTAGCAGGAGGCGTAAAAGCAAATAAAAAACCAGGAAGCGCACCAAAGTAGATGCAGCAGCAAAAAGCAAACACACGGCCAACACGTAAAAGTAAGGTAAGTTAACGGCAACAATGCGACGACGGGGAAAGGATTGTTTGCATATAAAGCAGATCCCTCCGCCTCCGCATAAAGTGCATAAATCAAGCGAAATTAAATTCCCACAAAAAGACAAGGGCATGCAGAAAAAGCGTTGAGGCGACCAAAAAAAAAAAAGCACCAAAAATGTGGCAAGACGAGTATGAAGCAAGCATTTTCAGAGTTTTATTTAGTTTGCTGCATGTTAAATGCTTTAGCGCAATGCTTGAAAATTCGCATGGATGAAAGTTTATGACAAGCAATTTAAATAAATTAAACTAAATTATCAACCCAATATTATTAGTAAGATGTTAAGCTTGTGAAATATGGCAATGAAATGTGATATTCAATTATTAAAATAAAATCGAAATAAAGTGAAGTAAGAATAAAGTATTTTGTATAAAGCTTAGCCATATTTTAAGCCATTCACAGCTCAGCAAAGCACGAATACAATTTTGCCATCGTCAGCTGCTCTTTGTTTCTGCACAGCAATTAACGAGGGTGCAAATCAAATTTGCAATATAATTAAAATTCTCCACTGTTGCGAAATTGTTTGTTATTTTCTTTAGACGGTTGCCTCGAGGCGACTTCAAAGAGCAGTTAAAGTGAATAAAAGCCAAAAGGCTGCTGCAACAAAAACAATAGGAAAACCCCTATGCTGTTTTCTCAAGTAAAATAATCTCCTGTGCATAATTTACAGCGTTGCTTACGCTAAATCTCTGGTATACTCTTAACCATTTTCTACTTGTTAAGTGCTGGAAGGCAAGCCGAAAACAAGTAGAAAAAAAATTAATAGAATAATTCCTTTGAGGCACAAGTGCAAAAAAAGAAATATGTATATAAATGTTTCAACTGCGGCA